TCGCCCTCCGCCCGCCCGGCGCGGTCACGGCGGGACGGGCGCTTTGTGTGCGGCCGGAGGAGCGCCGCGCTCGGGGCCCGGCGGCGCGGCCCTCACCGTGCTCCCGGCACGGCTCGGGGCGGGGTCCCGGCACCCCTCGGGCAGCGGCCCGCGCCGGGCAGCCTCGGGGCGGCGGCAGAACTGCTGCTCCGCCGAAAAGCGCCGGGCTGCTCAGAGCAGCAAAGCGTTTTCAGCTGCCGGCCCTAACTAGACGCAGCTACTGTATAGCTTTGTCTCTAAAAGTACCGCAGAATATTGGCTAACACTGCATTGTGTTTGTTTTAAATACGAAGAATTGGCAGCAACGAGACGGGCAGTTTCTGTCTCGCGTTAGGTCTTTTCCTAAAGCTCCCCTCTTCCCTCCGAAGGCTCTTCGGCCGTGCCCAGGACGGCAGAGAGGCGCTTCTCCCGGGGGAGTGCCGGAGCGAAGCGCGGCGATGCCTGCTCGCTGTGGCGGCGTGTTGTAGCTCCTCTGTCAGGTTTCCTGCTCCTGGAGCTAACGCTGATCGTGGGAATGCTTAGGCATAAAAAAGTGTAATACCAAGGGATGTTTAACATCCCTGCTTTAAATGCCGCCTGCCCTGCATTTATTTGCTTTGAAAGACTGTGGAGCAGAGACTTTTGTGGTAAGAAAAGAAAAATTGCAGAAAGGTAAATGTTGGGTCTTGAAGTCTAGTAGTCCAGAAACTCTTAATCTGGACCTAACATTATAGCTTTTTTTCTTTATCAGTATTTTGTAGTGCAGGGCCATTAGTCTCTGGAGGAGCAAAGATCTGCTCCACACCGAGACAAGTGGTTGCCCGAGGAGCCGGGGCAGCCGTGGCGCTGCGGGCGGAGTGCCTGGGTGGGGCCGGGGACTGGGAGTGCCCGCGGAGCTCCTGAAGCCACCTGAATTAAGTTGTGTCTGATTATGCAAAACGGAGATGTAATGGCATCACGTGTACTACGCGGAGAAGCCTGATTTAAAGGTATTTAGGGGATACTTTAGTGTTTTGCATAGTACCTTGTACTTTACTAGGATTTGTAGGGACGGTGAGAGTTCAGACAAAATAACACTTTTTAAGTGCTGGCGACACTGCTGTAGCAGGCCTGAAATGTAAAACTGTTGTGACAATGGCAGGGAGGAGTAAGTAAGAGCTGTGATTTATATTGGCCACACAAGAGTGTGTGTGCAGCTCATGCCTGTATGAATTTCAGGTGAGAGGTGAGTGTCACTGGAGAGGATGGGGCTGGCATTTGGGTGAGCACTAACTGTAAGCACTCAAATATGTGTTACTTTAGAAAGCAGAGTGCTAGTTTACTCATATCTGTTCATTTTTGTAACCTCTTAATTGTATTTTTTTTGTTGTTCAATTTGTAAATGACAGCTGAATGTTTTATACTCTGTCTTGTGGTCAGTTTTGTATGAAAGTCTTGTCTTTCTCCTGCGTTTAAGAAACATTCAAAAAGATGGATTTTGACCTCAGACTTTCTTTTAATGATAGGCATTTAACTCACGGTGTTGTGAAACTAGCTGAAGTTTATTTTGACCTACTATATTTCTTTTCTCCTAAGTCACTAATTCTTATGCATTAGTTTGAAGAAATAATGCCAGAATTTTAAGCTAAAAGTTTTACTGCAATACTTTTATTTTAGCAAAATTTAATGTATTTTTTTGCTTGATACCTGGAGATGATCTGCAGCCCTGCACTGGGGTAACTTCCTGCATAAAATAGAGCATTTGTAACTATGTAACTAGACTTTGACAAGGCAAGTTTTTGCATAAATATTT